TTGCCCCATCCCAAAATAACCACCGTGTCTCCCGTGTCAGGGTGGTGGCGGTAACTAAAAAACACTCCCACACCCCTCTTCAAAAACCGTCCTCATCCACGCGCCGATGGACCAGCGAAACCAACACAACAAAGGCAACTGCAGGCAAAAGTAAGAGGGGCAAAGCACAAGGGGAAGGGACAAAGCGGAGGCAAGAGCAACACGAATCTCGATCGGGGGTGTCGCCAAGGGGTCAGAGGATTGAACTCGGCCACTGCTCACACCTGGGGGTGCGCGTTCCGGCCGTGCGCGTTCCAGCCGTCCGCGATTGGATCCAAAGTGCGAGCGATTGACAAAGTGCTCGGAGCGCAGCACTGAGAACGGTGAAACGGTTGGAGAGATTGGTTTTGGTCGTGTCTTACAACGGATACACTTTTTTTTTCATGCTCGACATTTGTTACTTGATGGCCATTTCGAGGAGCTGGTTTCCCTGCTTGCAGAGAAAAGTAAAAAAACCCGCCAGCATTGAGGGTGGTTTTCTGTTTAAATATTTCAGGTCTTATCGGGCCCTGTTGAACTTTAACGAACAGGATACAAAAAAGGGGAAAAGCTCCGCATCAGTCATTCGGCGAACGCACGCAGTAGCTCGCCCCTTGTGCAATACTGCAACGTAATTTAATTGTGATGGCTTTCGCTGGAACGTGACAGCGCCCACGCGCCAGACCCCGTGTGTGGAAACACCACCCAGCAGCAATAAGTCGACCGTGCAGACTCCCGTTACCCGCCAAGGCCATCAAAGTCCCACGCTTTAGAAGAAGCACACGCCTCATTATCGGAATTGGCTGGGCCCCTTGGACCCAACGGCGGCAAGTTAGTGGACATTTCACAGAATTCAAAAAGGAGCATTTCAACCTGTCAGCAGCAAAGCAAAATTCACACGTGGGCCCCACGACCTCCCCTGCACCCGATTGGCCGAGACGTCGCCATGACGATGCTCCAAAGCGTAACGACTCCTTCCCTGCCATTGGCTGCTACCGGAATGAGGGCAACAGTTGTGCAGGACTGACAGCTCCGCTGGGTTTACGTTAACAATGGGATGCTCGGCGCTGTGAATTGAGAGATTAAACGCACGGGCGACGAGCACAATAAGCGCTTGCGAATAAAATTACTCCTGCAGACGCATCGATTGCCGTTTCAACTCGCCGGTAGATGCGAACGTCTTACACCGTAGAACGTACTTTTTTTTAAATCATAGAAGTCAAGTCAATTCAGTGTATTTACACTCGCGAATGACGCCCAACCGACCCTAGTTGTGTTGGCAAGGCAACACCGCAATTTATTTAGAATTGCAGGTACAGTAATTGCCTAATTTGAGGTCTGCACCGGTACAACGGAGGTCGCAGTTTTGCACATGAGGCCACAGCGGTGAGTAACACTGCGCTTGTCACTGGGAAAATCCCCAAATGATGTGATGCACAGTCACGGAACTGTGGTCACGATACTATTCAAGAGAATCAATTCCTCTTTCCCCTCCCCGTTTTTACTGTGTTCTCATTGGTGGGAGGTGTTATCGTGGGTCCGATCCCGACCCTGACGCCTGCTGTATATTTGGAGTTTCCACGTTCCCTCTAACCTGTGGTGGCATGGATTTTTCTCCTGTTCCTCCGGTTTTTTTTTCCCATCACATGCGCTAAGAGTATTTGGCTGCTATAAATGCCCACGTGACGATAAGCCACTTCGTTGAGCTATCATTTGTGGCCAGGTCACATCCGAATTAGAGGTAGATAGCTCAGTGGGCCTTACCTGGTAAAATAAAAATGCTTAGTTTTCAGTAACAATTAGCAACATCATTCGCACGCATCGTTTACATACAGAGCACATCGTCGATTCTCACGCGCGTGCTTCGACTGCCCTCGTCACGAGCGTGAACGACGGATCGATGAGTCGCCACGACCGCGTGGGCGTCTCGCCCACGTCATTTTCCCACGGAATATTTAATGACAGCAGCAACAACACAATTAATTGCGGACTCCCTAAAAATAACTCGAGCAAGTCACATGCGGTAAGATTGAGCAAATCTCGGGCATGGTTTTCCTACCGACAGGATCACACTTAATACAGTGATCGTGAACTGTCATGATAAATCAAGATTGTCATAATAATCAGTCCGTTTGTCAATGCACTGCTGGGAGGACGATCCATTTGTCACGACGATTGCTCAGCGCAGGTTGATGAAGAGAGAGAGGCAGGGGCAACCGTCGGTTCAGATTGTATACTTTAAAGAGTTACCCCATGCACTAAGTCACACGAACTGCAGCAACATTTGTGCTGGGAGTGGAATACTGCAAGTTACCGCAAAGAAGGTAATCAGGTTTTTTATTTGTATCACCATACTTCACCAAGACTGGGCATGACCAAAGCCGATATCACTCGCCAACTGATAGCCGTGGCCTCGAATTGAACTCGGAACGACGAGATTAATAGCACAGCGCTCCGCCCACCATCGCTCGATTCCCATTATCAGGTCAGCGGGCTGCGCTATCAAGTGTACAGGCGCTGCAATTGCGCCAGGGTTCAAGGGTCAGAAGGGCCTGTACGCCAGGCTACCGAGACGAGGCGTCCCATTTCCATCGTTGCACCAAGGGCCCATGCACAACCACGTGGCTACAACCACCGACTACACAACCACAGACTACACAACCACAGACTACACAACCACAGACTACACAACCGCATTTTAAACCGTCATCAGCCAGTGTCTATCCACTGTTAGATGAAGGCCTCCCCACACTCTGTGACGCGGCGTTCTTCCTCCTCCTTGCGCGCGTTGCATTTAAAACCAGCGTCTTAAAAAAAACAACGATTATTTAAGTTTGCAAAAATTACAAATGCTGTATATATAGCAAAGAACACTAAATCAATTTGCTCCACTAGTTTACAGTACCAGTGGAGTTTATCGAGGCACGCGACGACAAAAGTGTCCGTTCGTGTGAGCCAAGTGTGAGTGCAGGTCTTTTGTTGTTGTTGATGTTGTTGTTTATAAATGCCACACAGCCCAGCGTGACACAGCTGCAAAGTTGTGCCAACTGCACGCGCTACTGCCTGGGCGCAGTCGCCCACAGCTTTCTCGGGGCATCGCGCGCGTGCCACTGAGCGAGAGCGCGCGCGGCCGCCCGCCGTACCGCGGGCAGGAATGTTTATAACCTGACAGCCATCGCGCATCATCCTCCATCCCCCACAACCACCTCCCCCCTAAAGCGCCCAATTGCTGCCAAACGCAGACTAGGGGAGGCCTGTGTAGTGGTTATTGTTGTTGCTGCTGCTGCTGTTGCTAACGCACGGCAGGTCGCGTGGCCGCGGTTTCAGGCCGTAAATAATGCTGCAGCAAGAACAACAACAACTACAACAACAACTACAACAACAACACGCGGCGGTTCAAACCAATGGGCAAAGCGATATTGAATTTTCACCAGCTCCCGTCCACCAAAGCAACACGAGTTGGTTACACCCACAAACCACAGTGTAGACGACAGGAAAAGGTCGCGTGTGATATGGTGGGGGGGGGGGGGGGTAAAGGTGTTTAACATTAGTGGACAACAGGTAGGCCCACATATCCTCAAGAGCAGTGGTGGCGACCCATCATCTCCCGACCCACACGCTGCTCTGTAATCCACCACGTGCGGCTCTATCGAAGGGGGGCACCATAACGTAGAACGTGCTATCACAGCAGTAGCAAAGTATAAAGAACGTCTCCCGTGCTGTGCCGAAAACTGTCAACATATACACAGTGCACTTATATATGTGTAACAATTGGCTCTTTGCAGAATTCACGGCTACTTTTTGGATCTTGGTCCGTTCAAGGTTCGGCCACCCCTGCTCCATAGAGAGGCGTTTCGAGTGGGGGCAACGGCGTGAAAACCCAACAATTGTAGAGCTGCACCTTTATCAACCCCCCCCCCCCCGACGCTTTTTTTCTGACTTGTCTTTATGCACCCAATCCTTGCAAAACGAGACCACGTTGCAGCGCGTTCTGCGATTAAAGTGACGCCCCTTCAACAAGAAGAACAACAACCGCCGCCGCCGCCACGAATATTCAAACAAAAAGAGGACATCCCAGTGAAATGGGCGGGAGCACGTTTCACCGTCCAGACAAAAGGACCCACACATTACACTGCTTAAGCTTAGCCGAGCTGCTGGGCCTCTGAGCAAACAGGATGTGCGTATACAATTCAGTCAGCCAGCACCTAACAGGTTCTGATATTGTAATAATAATTTAGAGCCTTTTTGTCGGTTCACTACCGGGCAAAGAAAGGCCTCCTCTCCAAGCCTGTGGCGGGTCATCCGTTGCCGTTTGACTATACTTCACCAAGCTGGGTAGTAAGTGTGGGTTCGTGTTAAGGGCAATCGGTGAAAGAAGTTGGGGTGGGGGGGGGGAGGCATTTACCAGATCACCAATACCGCTTGCCACTCACCGATGTTAGCCGTGGTAAGGAATCTAACTCAGGTTGCCGGCGTTTCGTTCGCGCATTGCGTGAACCACTTGCAAACCACCATTTCCCTCCTCCTTACCCATCCACTTACCTAACTGGCAAATTCGCAATTGCAAGACCACACAAAAAATACATATAGCAACAACGAGCAACTGAACGTGTGGCTCTCTGCTTCGGTTGAATCTGTTATGTAAGCGCATGTGTGAATGACAACTACGATCATCCCCGCAGCAGCAGCAGCAGCGGCGGCTTCTGGCAAACCATCGAACCGAGGACTGTCGCGGGCAATCGCGCGCTTTCAGATGCGCTTCTGCGGCCGTCTGGAACGCTCTTCCCTTCCGATATTAGTAAGCTACTGGAGCTATGCACTTTCAAATCAAGACTGAAAACTCTTCTCTTTAGAACTGCTTTGTGCGTTTAGTTTGTTGCCCTTCAAACAGCCGCAACCTTCGATTAGCACGGTTGGCTACGTACGGTGCGAAAGACGTTGAAACATACATACAGACATATACAAATATACACGTAACCCACCTTTACTCTTGTCCATTGCTGGGAAGCTTCATACACAACAGCTCGGATGATGAAACTCACTGCCGAGTTTCTGCGGTGGCGAGACTCTGCCGACTTTGTTTTGCTGTTGTTCCGATCCAGATCGCGTTTAGACAATTAAAATAACAAAATCCCTTTCTGGTTGAGGTGCAAGAGCGACCTTTTTTTGCTACCGTCCGTTTGATAACACACACACGGAAAAAAAAGAAACCGCGTGAATGAATGAACCTCGGCTCGGTTTTTTTTGTCGTTTTGCTGCATCAAAACGTGCGAACCGCCGCCGCTGCTGTGAACGCCTACGAATGACGAGCGCGCGACTCAACTCACGCTTATAAGTGTCCCTCAATACGCCCCGAGCCACCGTTTATTGTGCAATCCGCAGCTCGGTCGCGCTGTGGCACCACCCACCGACCCCCCCCCCACCCAAACATCACGTTACTTGACATATATTGGATGGACGCGGCAGGCGCTACAAAAAAAAAACTAGGAGGCTATCAGCTGAAATTCACAATACACCAACAACAGCAGCGGGCAGCACCAGCAGCAAATAAAATGTGAACACAGGAAACTCGAAGTCACGCAAAAAAAACCCGTGTGTGGTCCGGCCTCAGCAACAACGTCCTTTGTTGCACGAAGCTCGGACGCGACCTCCTCCTAAAGTGAGGTTTCCTGCTTTGGGAGAGAGAGGGAGAGAGGCTGCAAAAGCCACCGCGCGTGTATGATTTACACGTGTCTCTGCCAGGAGGGGCCCACAGAGGGAGGGTCTTGACGGACAACCACCACAAACCACCGCCACCCACCTCAGAAAGTTAGGGACATCTTTCTCCCCCCCCCCCTTAAGGCCACCAGTTCTCCAAACCAGTTTCGGTTTTTATATTACATTTTTTTTATCTCTCACTCACACTTAGTTCCCCTTTAAAAAAACTAAAAAACCCGTGCACAAAATGTGCGTGCTATTTGCACGTCTACGCGCGTACAAAGCATGTCGATGCGTGATCCAAGGTACGGCTGCAAATGGGGACTCAGGAACACTGCGTCGTATTGCACTGTGTTTGTGTTGTACAGGGTGGTCCAGATGTCTTGTGCTCTCCTCCCCACCCACCCAATCAGAAACAGAATATTTATTTAGACTGCAGGAGAAATCCGATGAGCTATAAAGCTTTTTTTCACAAATGTCCAGGAGGGGCACAGGGTAAGAACGTTACAACAACAAACAGTACAAAAACACGGCACATACAAATACAACGCGAAATCATCCCCATGCTACCAGGCAAAGCCCACTGGTGTATTAACTTACTTTTCGGAAGCGCATCCAGGCCACAAATGATAGCTCGACCAAGTGACCCGTCATTTGTACATTTATTAGCACCAAAAATCATCTAAATAATGTATTATTTTTAATCATAAATACATTCATTTATATATATTAGTTTCCCTTTTAAATAAACCTTACTTGAACAAATATTAAGTTTTAGAGAATCAATCGGAGGTCACAAGACATCTGGACCACCCTGTCGTTGGATTGGGGGAGTTCAATGCAAGCTTGGACATCTGCCTGCATATGTGAATAACCCTATCTACCTTCTTAATTAACATCAAACACCAGACATGAGAATTATGGTTGACAACTCTGACTGACGCCATTCCGGGAAACGTTTAATTTTAACTAGCTTATTTTCCCAAAATAATCCATTATTACAATCTTCTGGATTGCTTTCAATAATTTACTGGGACATCTGTGAAAAATAGCTTTATAGCTCATCGAATTCCTCCAGTCTAAATAAAGATTCTGATTCTGAATAATCACCCGGGAGATCGATGTCAATTCCGGGATGGTTGGCAACCCTAGAGAAAGTCAGTATCTTTGTTAATCCTGGAAAAAATCCGATAAGCTATGAAGCTCTTGTGGGTTTTATACAAATGTCCAACGCACTGCTGGATGAAGGCCTCCCTTCACCAGCCCTTAGCCATCCCTCACTATCGTGTGATGTAACGACCCAAACCAGCAGATGTAATGACCTACTTCAACTGAAGTAACGACCAAAACCAGCAGATGTAACGACCCACTTCCACTGATGTAGCGACCCAAATAGCAGATGTAGCGACCCACTTCCACTGATGTAGCGACCCAAACCAGCAGATGTAACGACCCACTTCAACTGATGTAACGACCCAAACCAGCAGATGTAAACGACCCACTTCAACTGATGTAACGACCCAAACCAGGAGATGTAGCGACCCACTTCAACTGTTGTAGCGACCCAAAGCCGCTGCTAGGTACACGCGAGCTCAATTGCCTTGCCCGTAGCTCAACTCAATTGTCTCTCCGTTCACCTTCGCACGTGCGCGTATGTCAATAACGACACTGTTTAAAAACCCCTCGAAGGAAAGAGCCTAAATACCAACTGGCTTTCCTCGTCCCTATCCACCTTGCCAATGCAGATATTTATCTCCGCAGTCAAAACAAAGTATGCTCATGTACATTGTTGTCAAGTTACCTTCTGTCTGTTCTTAAGCAAACTACGAGAGGAGGGAGGGGGGGGGTTAGGGCACTTTATAATTGGTTTTTAATTCGCGAAATTACGTGGGTGCAACGACGCTTAAAGTACTGTAACATCAATTCATGGACTTGCGTGGAGTGGCAAGAGTAGGTCTGGAACTTTATTCCGCTGTCAACGACCATTGAACCGCGATGTTCGTTACCGAAATCAAACGTTATCAATTTCAATTTACAAACCCCCGAATCGTGGAAATTCCCGAATTCGCCATGGGGGAGTGAGTAAGTGTACAGTTCGGTAACATTGATTCACTGAATGAATCTTCACACAAAACCGGTTTGGTCTTTTTCTTTTGCATAAACAGTACCCAGAGGTCAGACCCGTGATTCTTCTCATTTACTGCAGCCTTGCCATCCCCCTTTTGGTCCTCAGTCGTAAACAAATAAAATGTATAATGTTAATAAAAACGCAGGGTTTGATGAACCTAAAGTAAGTTTTAGTTACGTGCCCCGTGCTTAATTTGTGTATTCGATTATTTACCTTCGAACAAAAAAATATATGGCCGTGTCCCGCTAACCCCCCACCCCCCGCAGAAAGGGCATCTCGCACCCCCACGTGGTACGTGAACCCCAGGTGAAGAAGGAGAACCACTTGCTTGAGAACGAGTGCGCTCTTACCAAAGTAGGCAGCAGGGGGCGGGAAGGGTTGGGATTCCACCCCTGCTTGGAGGAGGATACGGCTGCGTGCAAAAAACAAAGTGGCCAATTTGCATTGCATTTCAATCGGTCGGGGTGGAGGGGGATGATCCTCATTGTCGATTTCCGTGGTGTCCCATTCATCACAATCAACCGCATGCACATATTGCAGTCCTATTGTCGACCGACCACCACTGGATAAGGGGGCCATGCCATGCAGGTCGTGGTGGAGCTGGAGGGAGGTTTTACTAGATTCGACCATACTTCACCACGCTGGTCAGTGAAGGCAGGGCACTTATCCAGGCTCAAACACGCTTAGCTTTACGAGACCTAATCACGATTACGGAATTAATCAGCCGCATGGAAATCCTTAACAGTGACATCTTAAATTTTGATTTAAAGCTTTTGTGACTGCAGTGATTCACATTCTTGGCTCTTTCGGTAAAGTCACGTTAATCAAGCTGTAAGAAGGGAGGATTGGAGGTGAGGTTGGGGCGCGAGCCATCCCTACCCGCCAGCCCCGAACCCGATCCTGAAGACAAAAACGCCACCGGTGCTAGATTCTCATCGATCAGCAAGACAATTTGTACAACCAAGCGATGAAGTGACGCTCGCAATTTCTCCATATGCACAGGGCGCGAGAGATAAAGAGAGAGAGAGAGACACAGAGCTAGAGAAGAAGGCGCGATATGCAAAGGCAGGTCGTATTCGTCGGGCATTCCGTTGAGCGTTTAACATTTGTTTGCACCCTTCACGTTGGCGATGTTGTTTTAGAATCAGAATAATCACAATACTTATTTAGACTGCAGGAGAAATCCTATGAGCTATAAAGCTATTTTTTTCCCACAGATGTCCAGTAAGGACACGGGGTAGGAACGTTCACAACCAAAAAGAGGACAAGAAACACGATCGTATGCAATGTTCAGGAAATGTAAACAAATCACCCAACACACAAACCAATCAAACAAAACCATCCCAATCCTACCAGGCAAATCCCACTGGGGTATTAAATTTATTTTTTCAGAAAGCGACCTGGCCACAAATGATAGCTCACCAAAGTGACCCATCGTTTGGACATTTATACCCAACCCCCCCCCTAAAGATCTGTGAAAGAGCTTTATAGCTCATCGGATTTATTCAGTGTAAATACATATTCCGATTCTAAACAAGATCAAAGCGACAGGGTTGCATTCAGTTGCTCACTCCTTTCTTTTGTGGCCCAAGTTTATCCCGAGGACCCAGCACAAAAAGTGTGCCGACTCATCATCATCACACTCTAAGTTGGGGGTGACTAAACTTCCTGTAACCTCCGATGAATAAGGGCAAGTTGCCTATGGGTGTGGAGGTCGAGGAGATCCAATCACCGAGTCGGCGCTGTAGGTTCGCATAGGGCGGGTTTCGTAAGGTACAGTTCGGAAGCATCGAAGACAAAGATCAGCCCCCGTAGCCTGTAACAGACTGCTGGGGCAAGTTAGTGCTGTTAGCGAGCAACTATGAAGGCCGGCACGGCACACGAGGTGGTGGGTGGCTAGCACCACGCCAGGCCGCCTTTGTCTCCCCAATGGCGATGTTTACACACCGCACTAGGTACTCATTTGAGGCCGAGTCGACCTAGGGGAGGCCCAGGACCCGGTTCAGATAATCGTCGCTGGTATTTGCCGTGAGCGGGAATCGAACCTCGGGTTCATGGCGCAGCGTATCACGAACCGCTGCACCAGGATCCACAGACATCGTAATCCATTTGAAATGTTGTGTATGAGTGTGTGTGTGTGATTTTTTTCACGTGTCTCACACACACAAACACCCTGAAATCTGTTATTAATGTTCACGAGCAATCAACAGACTATTTACCCAGCACTGCAATTAACCCATATCGGTCTGTGTTATTGTTGAAAGTATGCTGCTACGGAATTGCGCGTTAACACCATTGCGTGATAATTATCATTCTCTAGCCACTTCTTGGCGAATGCAGTCCACGCTGCCAATGCAGATCGTTTTTGCCGTGTGTATGTGTGTGTGTAAATATATACCATTACAATACCATAATATTTACGTTTTTATTATGCCGTTGCATTTGCTTTGCCGATGACCAAATCGCCCCGGAATGCGTCTCCCCTGTTTCGTCAGTGTGTGTTATGGGCAGCAGCGGGTTAGGGCATAACAACAACAAAAATCCCATCGTTGATTTAAATTCTGCCCCCCCCCCCCTCCTTCATCAAGCCGCAATCACCGCCATGGTGAAGTATGGCCAATCACGATTCGCATTAGCGTGGAGGGTACCGCGGTGGCTCGGAGATATTAACTACCTCGCCTGGTATGCAGGAGGTCGTGGGTTCGATCCGGACCTGACACCTGCTGTATATTTGGAGTTTGCGTGTCTCGCTCTCTCCCCATGGTCGCGTGGATTGTTCTCCGGGTCCTCCGGTTTTTCCCTCCACATTTGAAATCAACATCACGCGTTTAGGGTATTTGGCAGCATTAAAAGTGTCCACGTCATGATAAGC